TCTTCCGATAAAATGGGGCTATTGATGGAATAATGTCAAAATGCTTCATCTTATCTTTACATGACAAAGTAAAGCAGTAGACATGTGGAGATTATTGTAATTGTTACTTTATAATGAACACAACACTCTGAATTAAAGGAACTCACTTTGCCTGTCTTATCTGACCTCCTTGGGTTAACCTGCTTCCTTACTAAAACAAAAGCAGCTTCTCTGCAGGTCTTAGTGATCTTGTGTTGGGAAGATGATTCCTTGCCAGCATCTGAATATCGTTACGCATTTGCTACAAAAATAGGAAAATTATTTGTTATATAAATGGAAAAGGTGAAGGGGTATCTCTGGTGACAAGGCATAGGACTGAGGTCTTTGTCAGATGGCATAGTTCAATACGCAACTTGTCTCTCAAATTATATAACAAACTGTTTTAAAATTTGGTTTTCATATGCCACAAAATGCAGGCTGTAGCAACTGTGACGAATTGTGCCTGCCTGGAGCACTGTGATCAGAAAAGATATCCATGATGTATAAGAGATTATTGACCATAGTTATATTTGAAGGCCCTGGTACATACAGCAGAATTCCATTTTGGGAAGAAAAAATAAAAGTGCACCAAAAAGTTTGGTAGAATACTATTAATAGTTTTCTTCAGAAAGCAGGGTGAACGATTTTTTTCATTTTTATGTTTATTATTTATTTTCTAATTTTTATGCAATGAAAATGTTTTGCTTACATAACAAAAAAGCTTAAAATCAGTGACAACAAAAAGAGCTAGTCCTTTTTTGGATCATAGCAGTACCTAAAGTCTTCCATTAACCTAAATGATGAAGAACTAAACACTAAAAAGCAAGTCTCACTACAAGTTAGTGTTGAAAGGTCAGGACCATCACATGAGAAAACAATCAATTCACATTATCATTCCACTGCAAATGCACTCATTCACTCAGCAAACATTTATTAATAAGTAGTTCATTTTAAATTCCAGTAATGGGCAACTAATGAAATACGTAATTACAGAGGAAAATGGCCTGATTTCATATGTCCTCATTGCTCTTTCTTTTTTTCCAACTCTACTTTTAGCACCAAAAATGGTTATTAATGATGTTAGGTCTTTGAGTGGTTGAAATATGGGTCATTTTATTAATTAAGAACAGAGGTAGTAGTGAGGGCCTATTTTAGCCCCATTTCATCAAAATGGCTAATTACTTTGTGAAACTGACCTCGATATCTGCACTAAGAATATGATCCTGGATTCAAGAGCAATTCATTTAAGATAATGGCTTACCAGCCTTGGGGCTCTGAAGTCAAGTGGGACGGCAATACGGTTTTTATGAGAGGAAGACTTTTAGGGATAAAGAACAGTTTTAAGGTAATTGTAGCTCATTATGAACAAAATGATTATAGAAAAATGACACCGCAGAACTCAGGTCTCTCAATTTCCCATCCACTGCTTTTGCCACTGACACTTGGACAACTCCTTTTGCTACTAATCTTGGTGTAAAATGGTGGGGTTGAGGGGGCAGGGGAGTGGGGATTTCATCAATGTTGTAGGTTGGGCTAAAGATCCCACAGAGATTAATCGAACAACTTCAAGAAAGACTAGTATTTCTTGAGTACTTACTATGTGAACTGTTCTAAGAACTTCACATGTATTGACTTAATCCTCTCAATAATCCTGAGCTAGGTATTATTAGCATGTGCATCGTATACACAAGGAAAAAACCGACACACAGGTATGGTAATAGTGTGCCTAAGGTCACATGGTTTGTAACTGTGAATCCAGGATTACAGTCTTTTCAGTCCCATTC